CTAATCTAGAGGGATATGTTGTACTATGCAACTTTTATGAATGAATATGATCATGAGGTACAGAGTGGTTGCATTCTAGTGATATATTCTAATATAACTCCACTTAAATAGGTGGCGGCATCCCTGAATCTAGACGAGCTATAGAGTTAACTGAGCTGCTAAATGTAGAAATTAGACCTGCTCAGGTAGTATTTAAAGACTTATTCTTAATGCACTGTTAGAAGACTGATTCCTTTGGCCACTATCATATGCAACTATCATTTTGACTGAAACAAATTGGAATAGCTTCTTCCTTTTCCTGATGTAGGTTGTGCAAGGTCATTCACCTTTCAAAAACTTGTTGAAGAGGTGAGTTACTGTGTTGACATTGATGTCGAGTTCAGTATGTTCCAAATGAAAACTTATCTTACAAAAAGTAATATCCAATTATTTAGAATCAACTGGCTTTCTTTTTTCTTTGTTAATCTTCATCACTTTAGTTCCTGGCTGCTATATATGATACTGTTGAACATGATTTGCTAGAATAACCTTATGCATAAATCACTTAGACCTAATCATCAAGTATTTGGCAACTGACACAATTTGTTGGCTTAAGCTGGTGAATGCCTGAATCTGGAAATAAGTTCATTATGTTTGAAACAATAGGTCCTGAGATTTCCATTTATTTTATATATATGCATCTTAGCTAGAAACTGTAGTTTAGTTGGTTGTATCTAAGATGAGATCAATCTTGCAGATCTCACTTTTTAAGTCCCTGTCTCTAATAAATCACTAATTCATACTTTTCAATTGGCTTCATGGAGATCCACTAGTCAAATGTTGTGAACTTTTCTAGGCTTGTTATAAGAAATTTCTCCATGCGATTACTAATAAGCCATTTTTCCATTTCAGTTATTTACTTGTCAGTATTCTGCTGAAGGTTTTTTACCATCAACTGCCATTGTTATGATCTTCAGATTTGAGAATGAACTTATTGTTGCCACTGGAAAGGGGGATCCTGCTTTGGTGATGTCTGAATATGGTTTCAAGTAAGCTCTTAGCTTTTCATTCCTTAAAATGGAAGTATTAGCTCTTATGTGTGGACAGACTTTCTGATTATGTAGAAATTATAATTGTCCAAGTAAATTTTTGTGCTAGGAAAGTGGTCTCCTTGGATGAGTATGCATCTTACTTTGAAAAAATTGATCCTGTGTCTCAGTACAAGACATGGAAAACCAAGTTGGTATTACATGGGATAGTCATTCAGTTCAGCTGAAGGGTTAAGCAGCATTTGTTGTAAGTGATCCTGTAGATTGGGGAGAGACATCCAGGTATTTCCCATTTCAGTTTCATTTTGCTG